CCCCCCCCCCCCCCCCCCCCCCAGTATTTTCTGTGAAGAATTACATCTGTTTGGCACTGCCTTTTACAATACAAACACACACACTAACATGAATTTTAACATTTAAATACTTGGACTTCTCACGCAGAATCTTTTAACACACTATTTCCAAGAGTGGAGTAATCACAAAGCCACTGATTACCAGGCTTTAGAAATTAGTATAAATGTAAACTTGGTCATCATGTGTCCTTCATTACACATGTAAAAAAATGTAAGAAGGGGAAAAGACAAGGGAAGGTTCAGTATTTTAAAAAACAGTTAGTGTCTTGGGATATTAATTTTTAGATATTCAACTTGCAATAGCCTAAAACCATAGTTGTTAAAAAGTTCCGAGCTCTTGCCACACATCCAAGTTTCTTTACATATGGCTTTGTCACAAACTGCTCATTTAAAACTAATTACTCCCTGGCATATAAACTTATTTCAATTTCAGCAACTGAGTGTTCTGTTGGAACAATACGTCATAAGTATATCAGGAAAAAAATGCTGCCAATATTTTAGTTGATGTACAAAATTATTCCTTGCAAATGAAAGTATCTTCTGAAAACTGGGTGACATCAAGTGGGCCATGTTATTGGGTTTTTCTGGTGCAATACTGATCCTTTGTTTAATAACACTCTTACTAAAAGAGGAGATTTTATCAAACAGATCACTGAAGATGTAGACTTATAGAAGGGGGAGATGTCTACATATCTCCACATATCAGCATACATCAGTATCTCTTGTTCTGCCCATATAGACAGAATCATGGCATGTCTTGGGTTGGAAGGGACCTACAATAAGCAGGGACATCTCCAGCTAGATTGCTCGGAGCCCCATCAAGCCTGATCTTCAGAGCCTCCAGGGATGGGAGATACCACCTCTCTAGGCAACATGTTCCAGTGATCCACCACCCTCGTATTAAAGAACTTTTTTCTTATGTCCTTAAACCTGCCTTTTCTTGTTTACGTACCTGTAGAAGCCCTTCTTGTTTTTCCTTACATCCCTTGGCAAGTTCAGCTCCAGCTGCACCTTGGCCTTCCTGACCTCATCCCTACACAACTGGGCAACATCCCTATACTCTTCCCATGATACCTGTCCCTGCTTCCACTGCCTGTGTAGTTCCATCTGATGATACAGAAGTTCAACAGTAAGCACTGCCTTTGAGTTAAGACACCTTGGCTGAACACATTTTCCTAGTCATTTGGATTGGAGAAGATGATGCTTTAGTTCTCTACTGGATCAGGGATCTCACTGCAGCATTACTTCACTAGGCCTGGCTCATGGTGGACTTTACAGTAACATGGGATTGCATAGCTCAGAAAGATCTCAAAAGGGACCTAGAAGTGTTGTCTCATTCTGTTCACACCACACCCCACTGCATGTAACTAGTTGCTGCAGTTCATGAGACACACTCATTTCTGCACGTATTGCCATCATCTCACTGGGCGTATCAAGGGTGACATGTGCACACAGATGACTTTCCATGTTAACACATTCATGTTCACACTCATGCTGACCTAAAGCACAGAAGTTTACTTCTGTGGAGAGAAAAACAGTGATGAATTCAAGGCAGCCGTGACGGCTTCTGAAGTAAAACAGCTTAGAAAAACTCACTTCTCTTAACTCATACTGGATTCTGTGCTTTCAACACCCATTAAAGCTGACAGTGAGCTGAGGATCCAAGAAGGGACTGCAAATCCTTGGCTACAGAAGACTTCACTTTGATTCCCATAGATCTGCTCCTGTCATGCATCATGGTGAAGAAGGTATATCTGGTGCTAATCAACAGTGATGCACTCTCCCTGATTTATAAAGAGGGCATATATGCAAATGGTCTGCCTTATTTTACAAGCATATCTAACATGAGCCTTTTTATAACAAGATTTAGAATAGGAGCTTAATCCTGGAAATGTCACCAGATTTAAAGCCACATCCAAAGCCCCCTAAGGTTAAGGAAAAATACCCCAAATAGGAATTACAATTTGCCTTTAATATTCTACACAATGCTGTTCTTTTGCTCCTATGCTCATCAAAGCATAGCCAGTCAATAAAAACCTGAATGGATTAAAATACTATATAGATAATAAAAAACAGAATAGCATGGCTTGCTGTAAAAATGGCACTGTGTAGACAAAGATGCTTAAGGAGAATACATCTTTAAGACTGAAAGAAACACAGTTCCAAAACCAGATACATTTTATGAGGGTCTAGAAATATAATTATGTTGCTCCAGGCAAGCTTCTTATTCATATAATACCAGCAGTACAATTCTTGCCCTCAAGTCACCACATCAGGCAAGTTCATTTTGCTGAATATAATCTCCTTAAATTTTAACAACATTACATTGAAAATCTGCTGTGATTCCAGGCTGTAGCACAGAAATCTGTTTAAAATAAATAGTATGTGTGAATGGTCTAGAACCTTGACATTGCTGAGGCTGTTTCTACAGATTTTGTAGGAAACTGTGGGGTTTTGTGTGTGACTTTCAGTTGATTTTAATAGCTACGTTACCTATCCAGTACTTTCCCAAGTTAATGAAATACATCAGTCTGTGTCTAAACCAATTGGGCAGAGGAAGATGTGGTGGTTTTTTTTAAAGCTGTTTGTGTCACTACAAGACAAGGTCAGAAAGTTTCAAATAAGTAATGCATGTACTGGTTTTGAGCCACTCTGGTTCCCATATTATTCCTCAGCTTTCCAGAAATCTCTTCAAGAAACACCTCTAATACAATCCAGTCTACAAAACAGTAAATAGTATATTTTTCCAGCATGACTGGCTCAGTTAAAATTCAAGTTTCTAAAGCAACCTTAGTTATAGAGAAAACTTTTATACTTTCAGAAGGGAACCCATTCACAGCAGTTTTAAGAACTAAAAGCAGATGAACTTTATTATGTTCAAATGATTACTCACTTTTACATGTTTTCTTATCCGGATTAAGTGTAAACCCTTCTTGGCATCTACAAAAATAGGAATCATCTGTATTAACACATTCCTGTTCACAGCCGTGGTCCAGAAGGGCACAATAGTCTGGTCCTAAATGGGAAAAAATTGTGACAGTGAGGAATATAATTATTCAGGAATAAGGTAGGTAAAAATCCATTACTTTGTTTTCTTTAGCTTTTTTTTTCTTTTTTATAGGCACCATTCTGACTTTTTACTGTACTGTTTCAAACTATGAAAATAAAATGTTGTCGTTTTTTTTTCCCAAATTTCTGCTCTATTTATGTATACCTGAAATGTATACTTGAACAAATTTTTTAGGAACATGTGTACTTCATGAAGTAGAGAAGTCAGAATCTTAAATACTTCTTCATATTTTGCAGCTAAGTCCTCATTAAAATTGCCTCTTTATTTTACTCAGAGCAAGTTAGCTACAATCTGTAATAAATGCACAATGATGCTTTTGAATGTTGTGCATTACATCAAAGCAGGACAATCAGGTCATCAGGATTATTGATGTTTTAACAGCTCTGGGTGTTTCCTATATAAGACTTCCATTTAAAATGCTCATGAAAGGGAAGATGAGCAAACTCTACAGACAGCTGATGCTTGTGTATAAAGTACCTTAAAAAGAAAAGCAGTTGTGCTGTAAGCACCAGGATATTTACTGCATAGTGTTTACTACTATTGATAAAATCAAAGAACCTGATAGTGACTGACCATCACTTAGTTTTATATCAGTGTAGTTAATTAATTTATACTAGTGCAAGCATGCTTTTAACCCCTCAGCTCTGCAAACAACACAAATCCAGTAAGTCACAGTTTTAAAGACATCTAGGCACTTTTGAACACCTCATTACACAACCTGAAAACTGACAGAGGTTAATTACTATTCCCAGAGGTAACTGGCTTGCTGAGGCAGGAACTGTTCTTTCTGTATGTGTAGCAGGCTAATGCAATTGAGCCTTTATATATTTAATAAAGCCCTTAGAAATAAAAAACAAACTATATTTTCAGAACAAAGAGGAATGTGACTTTCTAAGAAAACCTGAGAGAATTATTTTATCATTTATGAACTCTACTTCATATATTTATAGAACATTTCCTTTACCAAAGCTTTTTATCACAGCATATACACATACACGTATAAATAACACAGGGATATCTTATCTGTTTACTAAAAATAAATAAATAAATTAGAAAATGTGGTTTGTTGAAGAGTACACTGAAGAGACAGAAAACATGTGTGTGCACCAAAGGAAGACAGCTGTATGCCTTCTGGACCTAGTCAGGGCTGTGTTGCATTTACCTGCTCATATCCTTGCTAACACAAGTGTGCAGGACAGACTTTTCCTGGGTTACTGATTCTGAAGACGATCACAAGAGATGAAAAATATATATTATTATCTTTGTTGAAACTTTGAGGCTATTATGTTTGGAACACTAAAAACAGATTTCACAGCCCAGAAGAAGGTATCCTACCAGGTACAGCTCATGTGAATCCATCCACAACTCAAAGAGGGGATTTTCCTAAAGAACAACAGTTGAGGCTCAGTGCTCCTATGTACAAGCAGAAACTACCATCTGTCCTCTTGAGGGGAGCAGCAAGAGTGGCAGAAGTCCCCATAATAGTTAACTTAGGAGCTAGGGATGACCTCTGCCTGCCTTGCTGATACCTGAATTTGCTGCTCTCCCCCAGCCACACGTTAGAGTACCCTGCTGGTGTCAGCAGGGTTGCCCTCATGAGCCGCACTCCTTCTATTTCATTCTAAGAAGTTTGGAGTAATTCCCAGAGAAAACATTTGTCAGATATGCATGACAGCACTGATAATATTTACATTTTCAAGCTTTTCTTTGCAGCCATGAGCATAAAAGCTTACTTTCTATCTTTTCAAGGAAAGCCAGGATTCTGAGATTATCAGGAGACCTCAGCAGCTGGTGCCACAGGCTTCCTTGCTGATGCAGAGAGCTGGTCTGGCACCGGTGTGAGTCCTGACTAGTTGGCCATCATCCCTGAGGTTCAGTGCATAAGCCAAATACACAGAGATTTACATTAAAGGTTTAAAATGTACAAACATTTTCAATTCAGTGGACTGAAGCTATTTGCTCATGTTTATGCTGACTCAAAGCCAGCGTGACTCATAATGTATGGGAGCTGGGGGACACTTCTGCTCTGGAGAGCTCTCATGCTGCCTTGACTTTCGCAGCATTAAGAGCCAGACAGTTCTTTCATTCATGCTTATGAAGGAAAAGTGGCTTAGTACATTTTATTTATTATTAGATTCAGGGCATATATCTTAAAAGAGAGTTACTTGCCATAGTATTCACTTATTCCTCCCTGGCTACTACTTCTTCTGAATCAATCTGCATTGCTGACCATGTCCAGTCACTTTGATTCTTTTCGAATTGCAACCTGATGGAATTTTCTCTCTTAATTTTAAACTAATTTAAAGTTTTTACAACAAAACAGAATGCAGTTAACATGGCAGAGATGCACAGAGCAGTGAGAAGCCTTGTCTGTGGCCTCTGCCCCCTGGTTTGGGAGATGCATTTAATGTCAGGCTCTCATCTTTGGTTCTTGCCTGAGCTATGTTATGGGAACACCTGTGCCTAGCCTTGTGTTTTGCTGATCCTGACCTGCTGATTGGCTGACTTGATTCCCTGAATTTACCTGACCTGATTGCCTGAATTTACCTTAGATCTCTCAAGTCTCTGGACTTGTCAGGTGATCACTGAACCAGGTTACTATCATAGGACCTGTTTCATTCTTCTTCTTTGGGTATGTGTGACCAAAGTCTTGTAGCTGTCCTTAGCTACCAGCTTGCATTCCCTTGTGGAGCAGTGTACTTTTGTGTTACATGTTAAAGATCTCTTCCTTTCCACAGAGTTGCAACATGAAACCATAGATGTGGCTGGTCAGATTTTCTGGTCAAGATCAGAAGGGAAATTCCACTAGGAATGTGGTGGTGGAGTCTGTTACCCCACCTGACCAAAAGCTTTCTACAAACAGATAGCAGAAGTCTCCAACTCATAGGCTTTCATCATGTTGGGAAATTTCAACCATCCAAAACACCTACAGGGAGGGTAAGACATCAGTGTGCAGGCAACTCGGGAGGTTTCTGCACAGACTTGGTAATGATTCCCTTGCACCAATTCCTGAGGGGTGATGTTTTTCTTGACTTGCTGCTATGACCATGAGATGACTGAGTTCACAATCCAGAAGGTTGCAAGGGGAAACAGCAGCATTGTGACTCCATATTTTACAAGCTCAAATTTCAGCTTATTCAGGGACTTGCTAGGAAGAATCCCTTGGGAAAGGGCCAAGAAGAGAAACGATGCCCAGGAGGCCTAAATAGTTTTTAAAGAAAACTTGCTAAGAGCTCAGGAACAAATTATCCCATCATACTTGGAAAATCTGCTTAGAAGATCAAAGAGCTTCTCAGTGAACTAAAACACAAGAAAGGAAAACAGTAGAGAGAGAAAGAAGGACCAAGAAAAAAAGAGGAAAATAAAAGCATTGCTTAGGTATTTTGGGACTAAACCAAAGCGCAGCTGGACCTATTAGTACTGAGGTACACTAAGGGTAGTAAGTGCACAAATCAGCTGGTAGCAAAAAGAAAGTCACAAAACATGTGTATCTCTTGGTTGGGCAAACAACCTAGTGATGAAAAATACAGACGTGGCCAAAAAATAAATTATGCCCTTTTTATTCCTGGTCCCAGATTTCCATGTGTATCAGCACAGTTTGAGAAGCATGGCAGCATCAGATAGAGACTACTTAGAGAAACTGGATATATGCAGATCCATAGGATGACTGGTATTCACCTGTGGGTGCTAAAAGAACTAGGTGATGTGACACTACTGTCTGTTGTGTATAAAAATTCACAGGGACTGAGAGAGGTCCCTGATAACTGATAAATGCCTTAACCCAGGGATCTGTAGACCAATCCGCATAATTTTAGTCCCAGGATCACTGGGCATATCCTCTAAGAATCAAATTTCTAAATATATGAAGGACAAGAAGGTTGTCAGGAATAGTCAGCTTGGATTTACCTAAGGCAAACCTTGCCTGACCAACCTATTGACCCTCAGTGATGCATTTGTGGACAAGGGAAGATTAATGGTTGTAATAACACTAGCACCAGTAAAGCTCTTGATGCTGCCTCCCATGGTATTCTCATTTGGAAGCTAAGAAAGTATAGGCTGGAAGTAGGAACTTTCAGGTGCAGTGAAAATTTGCCAGGCCACCAGCCTCAAAGGATCAATGACTTCACATCTGGGTGGTTGCTGATAATGACCAGAGTACCACAGTGGACAGTACTGGGGACACATTGCTAAACATCTTCATCAGTGACATAGATGATGACACAAAGTGCACCCTCAGCAAATCTCTGGGTGACACTAAGTTAGGGACAGTAACTGAAAGTGAACAGCAGAACTTGCATACAGAGGAACTTGATAAACTTGATGACTAGACCAGAAGATGTCTTACGAAGTTCAGCGAAGAACTGCCGAGTTCTGCACCCTACCCTTAAAGTCTACTGCAAATAACCAAGCTACCCCCAAAACAACTTGCATTGCTCTCAAGACCTTTGGCTTCCAGGGCACTCCAACATTTTCTAGACCTGATTCAGTGTTCCCAGAACCAGTGGGTGTATTACTGCTGAGAACTGGAAGACAGAAGTACAAACTGTTCATAATTAAATCTTATCACAACTTACTTCTGCAAGTTCTTTTGTCTGGGTTTAAAATGAACCCTGGGTGACATGTACAGTAATAGGAGCCCTCAGTGTTAACACATTCATGTTGGCAACCTTGGTTATCCAAAGCACAGTAGTCCACAACTGAAAGAGAACAAGACCAACATGCACAATTAGAAATACACAGTTAGAACTACTATGCATCAATATTATGGTACTAGTTACACACAGTAGGTATAGAAAACAAAACAAACAAGCAAAAACAACAAAAAACTAACAAACAACCAAAAAAATTACATTATTTATGTTCTGAAGAAACTTTCTGCAAAAAGTAGTGCACTTTCAATACCAGTTTGGATCACTCAGATTTTATATGAGTCCTGGACCATTTCTCCTACCCTTTGAACATTTATCAACTCTCAGATTGTCAGGAGCCTTCTCAACATGTTTTCTCAGACCTGGAAACCATGTCTCAGTAACGCTCTCCAGATGTTTGCACTGTAGACCAGGGTGTAGCAAAGTTTGTTTGATTTAGTTCTGTCTTCTGTCTCTACAGTCCCAGTCCAGGAATTGCTCTACTTTTCCTTATTTCCCTCCCAGATTTATTAGTTCTTAAGAGCTGTTCCTGTAGCCTGAGAATATAGGAGCCCCATGGCAATATCTTCTACTCTGAGGACTGTTCAAGTACACTCGTTCTCTCTAATGTGCTCCAGATTCATCCTGTACAAAGCAGATGCAGCTATAAAGCCTGAGAGCTTAAGGCTGATATTAACCATTGATATTTTGCTTATGTAACACGTTTTCTATGAGAGAAACAAAATATCATAGCTAGTCCAGTCACTTATTTCATAAGTCCAGTCATTTATTACAAAAATCCATATTTACAAGATAGATTGTCAAAGAGTGATAAGGTAATCCTTAAGAGTTTACTCAGTCAAGCCCATTCAAAAGTGATAAAGAAGTTAATTTTTAATTTTCACAGAATCACAGGGGTTGGAAGAGACCTCAAAAGATCATCTAGTCCAACCCCCCTGCCAGAGCAGGATCACCCACAGCACATCACACAGGAACATGTCCAGGCAGGTTTTGAATGTCTCCAGCAAAGGAGACTCCACAGCCTCTCTGGGCAGCCTGTCCCAGGGCTCTGTCACTCTGATAGCAAAGAGGTTTTTTCTCACGTTTACGTGGAACCTCCTGTGCTCCAGTTTGCACCCATTTTTTTTTTTACTTCTTTGCAGGTCAAGCTGTTTCTTCACAAAGAAAGTCTTAGAAGAAATTAAACACAGGTCACAGAGCAGGTGTTCTGTTCCCAAAGAGCTGCCAGGCCCACATCAGGCAAGTTTACCCAGTTCCTTCTGCAGAAGAGAGCAATGTGCTCAGCTTCACACAGACATATAACGAGAAAGGTTCCCCTCCTTTGTCAGCTGAATACTTTTTTCATTACTTTATACTGCTGGGCCTCCCAAATTGTTTTAAGAGGTAGTAATTTGTCTTCATGAAATCAGTACCTTCTTTAATAGCGCTGCCTTGCAAATAATGAGTGTACTCAGGTGTGCTCAGATATTTAGTCAAGGTCATCAAGTCAGGAAAGTGGATCATCAATTTTGTCACTTTGAAAGAGCTTCTTTTAATCCTTCAGAATATTTATGTTGAATCAAGTCAAATTAGACTACTTACTGGCTACCACGTGAGACTTCCTGGCATGAGCTTTCCTGTTTCCAGACTGAATAGCTTCATATACAAACAGTTACCAAACATATGTTTCAAGGATATAATGTATCATACAATTAGTCAGTTTTCTCCTTAAATTAATTCTAACCACATGCAAGTGTTTTAAAACACACATTAAGAAATAAGTAGACCGTAAGTATATATATATATATTTATTTATTTTTTCTATCTATTTTTTTCTTTCCAGCATCGTACCTGGGAAACAGCCCCAGCCTTATGATCATTCCATAAAGTCACCTCCTCCTCTGCATTTAAACCCTAATGAAATGCATTTCTACCACAATATCTGCCTGTCTAGTTACTATACAGTTGAGAACTTATTGTAATGTAATGTAATAGTTCCAGTTGGAAGGGACCTGCAGTGATCACCTGGTCTAACTGCCTGACCAATTCATGGCTAAGCAAAAGATAAAGGTTGTTCTTAAGGGCACTGCCCAAAAGCCTCTTAAACCCTGACAGGTTCAGGGCATTGACCACCTCCCTAGGAATCCTGTTCCAGTGTTTGACTGCTCTCTCAGTATGGAGATGCTTTCTCATGTCCAGTCAGAATCTCCTCTAGTGCAGCTTTGAACCACCCCAGTGTGTCCTATCACTGGACACCAGGGGGAAGAACTCAGCACTTCCCCCTCCACATCTCCTCCTCAGGAAGCTGAGGTTCCCCCTCAGCCTCATTTTTCTCCGAACTAGAGAAATCTAAAGTCCTCAGCAGCTCCTCAAAGGACGTTCCTCCCAGCCCTTTCACCAGCTTTGTTGTTTGAGAGACAACTAAAGAGGTCTTAGAATGCTTTATTATCAACATTTGAGCAACTATGACCCTAAGTACCTTCAGACAACACTCTCTTGAGGGAGAACTGTGCCTTCTCACGGCTATGCAGCTGCTAATGTGCTGTGGACAGAAAGGAAATAAAATCCAACAAAATAAATAACCTTTTTTTCCAGGCTTGCTTTTCTCCATTTATAGCAGTTCTTGGAGCCTTTTACTTACAGAAGCATGTCTGTTGGCTTGTAAAAATAAGGAGCATATCAATTTAAGTAATGCCTTTCCACTAACACTGTTTAGAAGTGAGAACATTCTCTTGACAATTGCTTTTGGAGATAAGTATTATTCCCATTTTTCAACAATTTTTGTATACAAATTGCCCTAATTCCAGAAAGGCTTAGCCTTGCAGACTGCCATGGGTAACTGACCTACAAATTAATTTCACTTTTAGCCTTTGGTGGTACTCGCTTAAAACAGAAACTTGTCAACAGCATTCCAGTCAGCAAGTAGGTAAGTTGTCCACTGAGTTAAATCTTCCTGAAAAGACTGAGAAAAATTATAAATCTGTATTTCTTATATTGAAGTACTGTAATCCTTTAGTTGGTATGCAGAGAATGTACACAGTTTATGTAAGAGCAAATCAGAATAATATTTTACTATTTTTGTAAAGTTTTATTATTTTCATATTTCTGTACTGAGTCATGAGGTACAAACTAGAATGAGAACACTTTGAGATCTCACTGGTTTTAATGTTAGTCCATGCCTATTTCAATAAGAAACTTTTTGAAAGGATGAATTAATGACATATTTAGCGAGCAAGCAGTTAATTCAGTTGTCATCTCCTTGTGTTTGTTTCTTCCTGATTTTCTGGCTTGGAAGCAGTTGCTACGTGATGAGAGCCATCTTTTACTTCCAGTTACGAGTGCTGCACTCTGGGTGACTACATTGCCCTGTCTCAACTGTGGACAGCATGAGTCACCTTTCTCTTGTATCATTTTACCCCTACCACGTTTATATAGGTTATTCAGGCTTAGGAGAACAAAGTACATTAATTAGAAGGATAGAAGAAAAGGACAGGAAGGAAAGGTGGCAGAAGAAGTAAAGGTATAAGGAGGATAAAAAAGAACATGGGGAAAGA